AACCATAAYGATTCTGTGATTCTCTGATTCAAAGATCGTGTCTTGGAAAGTGCAGACTCTATGTGATCTCTTTGTTGACAAGAGGTTTTTTATTTTTTTACAGGGTTCAGTCATTTATCTCTTATTTGGGAACTGACTGTAGACATGCTCCGAAACSTGTCTATGTGTTTGCAGTGCTGTAACACCGAAGTAATTCCGCTCCCTTCACAGTAACACGAGCTTTACATCAAAAAGCCRCACAGAAGAATTCAGTCCTGGATCTACATCTGCGCTGTCACGAGGAGAGTCCTCAAGAGCAAAGCACCTCATCCGTGTAGCCATGGAGCTACAGCCCATCTGTGCTAGAGCTTTAGGTCAGGTACTCATGAAAGACAGTGCTAGTGGGAAACAGGAGAGGCTCCCAGCAGGAAGTCTTCCCAGATGCCTTCTCCACGGAGTCTGTGCAAAAGGTGTTTTAGAAAAGAAAAGGCATTTTATGAAAATGACCTGTGATTAATGGATCAAATACGTCTACCACAGAGAGAGGATACCTAGACAAATGGGAGTTTCCATTCTCTCCTCTGATACTGACACTTTTCAGCAGCACAACTGAACCTCTGACCCTTATCCTTACCTCACAAATAAGTCTGTAAAGTCAAAAACAATTTTGCATCAGTTTATTTTTTAAATTCAAGGCATAAAATCTCACAGCTGCAGGTGCCAGAAATCTTCCCTCCACGCAGCTCCGTACGTTCCTCAGAGCGCCCTTCCTCATGGGCCCGCGGTGCTGTGGGCCGCGGCGCTGGCGCYGTCCTGCCGCTCTGCGCTGCCGCATGTGCCCTGCCGAGGGGCTGCTCCCGGCTGCTGAGGTGCTTGTGGGGCTGCTCCCTGCTGCCGTGGGGCTGCTCCCACCTGCTGAGGCACTTGTGGGGCTGCTCCCACCGCGCTCCGGCGGGGCCTCCACGGCGGCACTGCGAGAACAGGAGGGACACGGTGGTGAGCGCCCTTCCCCGCCTTGACAAGCGGCAGGTAGTGGAATGGGAAGAGGAGGCCGGCGGGAGCAGGCACTGCAGGGAGAGAACCTCTGAGCCACCGTGAGCTCCAGTGCAACAGCTCAGCCCATACTCAGGCCCTGGAATTTGCCCTGGAAAAGGAGGCTCTGTGACCATGGTAAGAGCAACAGTCCTGCGTAGTGAGTATCTTCACTTCTTTGCCTTCTTCTTTCACCCCCACTAATTCTGGCCTGTCTGTGAGCTTTTCAACTACGGCCATTTCGAGGCCCGTGTCTGCTGTTTCTCACGTGCCAGCCTTGGTGGGCGCCGTACCAACCATCGCATCGTAACAAATGGAGCCTCCTGGCGCCAGCAGCCTGCCTGGCGCCAGCAGGAGACCAGGGCAAAGACTAAAAGGGGAAAGCAGGATGAACCAGGGCAAGCAAGACTGCATGCTCTGGTTYGCTTTATATACGTATGTATAGGTATTTTTACATGGTTATATAAAATACACAGGGGTGTAGTAGAAAAAACTGTGTGAGGCATCTGAGGTTGATCTATGTACAACGTGCGGAAGGGTATCCATGAGGGTATAGGGAGCACAAGACATGGCCAGTGCTGGATGAGCCAATTCCCATCGCTCCCACTGAGAGGCCTGAAGCTGAGGGGCTGGGAATCTAAGCCATGGAAAAGCCTTTGAAAATTGCTTCACACATGCCCAGCGTCAGCATTTAAAGACATCAAAAGAACATTTTGATTCTTCTTGAGTAAATGAGACGTGAGGGAGGGAAGCTTGAAGTTTCCCTGTGTGAGGTGCAGGAGATGCCTTGACTGCACCCTGAAGGCTGAAGGCATCTGCCCGTGTTCTGTGCTACAACTGCACTGCTCGGCTAGACCCCGACAGCCACCGCAGCCACACTGTTCCCTTGAACAAAACCAAGGATCTGCTGTTAAATTCCCCATCACCCCCAACTCACCCCCAACTCACAAGCTATTCATTTGACGTAGTGCACATGCTGCCTGGGTACCTTCCCAAGACATGGAAACAAGCCATTCTGCTCTTGTTATCCCAGTGCTTTTGCATTGGAATTGGAATGCTCTTTCTTTTCCATTTCATTCTTCATGGAAAAAGCGATGGCCCCAGTCRAACACACTTCCCTCTTCAGATGAACGAACAGTCCCAGAGAGGAAAAGGGTGGTTTGGGGCACGTTGGAACCTGCTGCCAACAGGGAACCTGAAGCCAAAGCAGGAGCTGCCTCTGAAGGACCAGCAGCAGCTGCCTCTGAGGCAGCCCKTGGGCAGCAGACAGGCACCCTGCTCTGTTACAACACCTTTCTCCACACGCTGGATAATCTGGCTGGAAAACAGGGCTGRAAAACAAGCAGGTCCCCAAGACACAAAATCCCACTTTGGGGAATCCAGCCGATCCACGGGGCTGCCAGGTGCCACAGCTGCTCAACCCCTGGACCCAATGCAAAGCAATTGCATTTGCCAGAACAAAAAGGGGAAAGAAAAAAAAAAAAAAAAGATCATTTTCAAAGGCCTCCCACCTACCTCATATTGGCAGCCATGGTAATTGCCAGTGTAATTGCTTCAAGACACATCTCATTAAAAAAAACAAAAGAGGTTTTGGCTTTGCTGGCCATGAACTGCTAGTGCATCAGGCACTGCAGTTTATTACTGCACATCCTGTTCCTCGCTCCATTTTTTGGTGATTTGGTCTAATGAGCAAGGAAATCACATTAAATGCACACAGATTTTAGGCATTACTATACGGGGGTTGGGTAGAACAGAGACAAGATAGTAGACAGATAATAGACAGTAGCCCATTTTTCTATGGAAACAAATGTTCTTAAAGCATCTCTAAAAGCAGCCAGTGCAGGAACTGATGACCAAAGGGGCACTTGTGAGCTTGCTTCCTTGTCCAATCTTTTGCTTCCATTAGAGGTGCCCAGACAACGGATCGCTGGGCACTGAATCACTAACAGCCGGGGGTTGACAGGGCTCCATTTACACTCMTACAAGCACAGAGAACTAACAGAACAGGAGTGATAGGGATACACAGTAAAATAAGAATGTGTTAAATGTAACAGTTCTGAAATAAATAAGACAAAATTACACAWCAAAATAATGATGAACCTAATATACACTTGTGAAAGTGAAAAGATATCCTAACTATTCAGGTATTAGAAAATAGAGGAGAGGAATACACAGGAAGATTAGGCACTATTCACRTAAGCCAATTCCCTTTTCCATAGATTGTTTTTAGATATCCTTAAAGAATGACTATAGAGTAGTTACCATATGAGACACTCAGCTACCAAAGTTACTAGCTTTGACTATTAACGGCACTTACAGATGTTCAGAATATTTTTCTGAGATGCTCGCTGTTGATAAAAATCAACAAAATCATAATGATTTTTATCATAATGGTTTTTATCATCATAATTCATAATAATTCATAATTCCACAATGAATTCCTGTAAAGGAACTTCAGGAAGATCAGGTAAGTGATCACTCTGCCATGTAACCTAGGCACTTGCATGTCCAGTGGATGAAGTGTATGATGCCAGAAAGATTTCTTTTCCTTTTTTTTTTTTTTTAATCTATTCTCTTTAAAATCTAGTATTAACTCAGTTAAAATAGGGGAGCATGTCAGGATTTTAATAACCCATTTGATATAACTTACAAATTTGTATAGACAAAATCCTGTGAAAAGCCTAGCACAGTCTGAAAAGCAGGACACACTGCCTTACCCCAAGCAAACGCAATCACAGACTGAGAGCAGATGAGGAGGTCTCTGATTAAACTCTGAGTGGGTATCTGTAATAACTCTCCAACTCTCCGTTCTCTGGTGAGACACAGAAAGATATGCAAAGAGAAATAAATTTAACCAAAGCAGGCGATGCTCATGGTGCCTTTAGAAGAAGATGGGGACGCTCAGTGGCACGTTCACCTGCGTGCCATCTGGAGGAACAGCCCTCACGATGCGGTGGCCAGGTCTCAGCAAATTTGGCTGAGACCAAAGTGACAGATGATAGATCAAAGTGATAGATGGGCAGTGTCCCCGCTTCATCTTTCCTTCAGTCTGCATGGAATTAGTGACGGGATCTTCTGATTTTGCACTTACTCAAGATCTGCATTTCAGGATGCCCAAGAGAGAGGAGTTTAAGGAGAAGTGAGCATTCCCATCTGTGGAAGCTCATACAGCTACAGGAAAAGGTCAGCACCTCCATCTCACCTAAGTCTGACCAGGCCACTCCTAAACTATAGTGACGCCTAAATGCCTGGTATTGGAATCCACAAGCAATCATCAAAACATGAGCAAGAACACAGAAGTTTGGAAAAGTCAATTCAAATAGCTTGAGAACATGACGACTCAGTGCATCTACACTACTTTCAGAAGGGAGCAGATAAGTAACAAGCGTGTTGAGAGTATGTTTAAAATGCTTTGAGGAGGTATGACTGGCAGGTGTAGAAGAAAATCCTTCTATTTCACTGACATAGGTTCAGTAAAAGGAGAAGTTGACTGTGGCATGTAAAAACACACCTATACGAGCCCAGGCATCTACTACAGAGTATCATGGAATACAGATATTGCTGTCAGCTTCAACAGAATCACCTTGGACACAAAAAAACATTTTAATTTCTGAAGCCCCGAGCCCCATATATTAATTAAATGTTAATTTAACACCTGCAGTGTAGACATGCCTTTAACCTAGCTAGCACAAATAAGAAATAGTGCAGAAATCCTAATGTATACCCTGCCTACCAATAGGTGCTAACGCCTATACGAGGTCATCTTCACTGTTCCTACAAATCCTAGGGAAACCAAGCTAGCAGGTGCCAGAATACGCTTTATTCACTTCTTTCCTCTAGTGTAAAAATTATGCTGAGATGGGCAGTGTGAAGGATGGTTTCCAAGTTTCCCATCCCGTTCCCATGTTCCAATGGCTTCCCATCGCGAAGGACATTTGAAAACAGGCTGGGCTAACATCCAGAAATGATAATGCAGAGCCTCGCTTTCTTAGGTGGGCATAAACTAAAAGTCTATGAGATCTGTTTAATACCTAGTATTTATAGTTTTCTACAGCTTAGTTCTTTACCTTCAAATTCCTCTTCATTATCAGGTAGTGATTTTTTTTCCCCGTGTTTTACTTCCCTCCTGGAGATAAACAGAACATCATCAGAGTCTGATGTTCTCTCCTTGGGATGTTTTTTTTCCTCTGCTCTCCTCTTCTTTTTCTTTTTTCCCATGTGCTCTTTCATAACATTTTTCTTTGCTTTCTCTCCTGCTTCATCTCTTGGAGATGAGTGAGGATGGGACTTCTTGGTCTCTTTGTCCAGACTAGAAAATCAGAGAAAGGAGTTCATTAAATTAAAAGTTCACATATCATATACAATATCGTATCTTTTTACATTACATAATTTTACCTTCTCCCACATCTCACAGTGCTGAAAAAGGAGGATTTTTCATCCTCCTCCATTTTCATCCTCATCCATTCATTTTTCACTTCTGACCACTTCTCAGGTTTTACAATTCCATTTCCCCTTTAGTTATAGAATAAGTAAAGAATAGTCTAGAACACAGTGTCTAAAATGAGTGTTTCTCTCTCATTTCTGTAGACAGGGTGCATCTCGCTCACTTATTGCATGTAATCTTTCCTCTTTAAAAAAAAGTTCTGATATTGCAGTTAGAATTGCAGCTCTAAATGATTCAACAAGAATTCACATCCTTCATATCCCTTGTAAACAGTCCATTCTCACCCAACTGTTGAAATTCATAAGAACTGCACAATAGTTATGTGGCAAAAGGCACTTGGAGATGCCTCCTTTCAGAATTATTAATTATTAGAAATTCTCAGAAGTGCTTAAGTAACTAAAACTGAACAAGTGTTTTAGGCACTCCACTGATATCAAATAAGAGCAGGGTTCCTAAATACCTTTCTGGATCTAGTCCCTGATCCCATCTCCTCATGACTCCAAAGAGGATTTGGGCACCATCTGCCTTTCATGATGGGAGCCCAGAGCTTGCAGGGTTTTAACCTGCACGGGCAACTTGTTAGTTACTTTTGCAGTGAACAGCCACCTTATTACCTCTAAAGACAAGTGAATTAAGTGTGACCCACAGCACACACCACAAACAAACACCAAAAAGACAATCGTGAAGAAATCACAGCTGAAGATGTATTGAGATACAATAAAATGATGTTATATATGTTATATGCTATACACAATTCCAATACATAAAATATATATACAATATATTGTATCATAATTGTGTATGTAATATTTATGTGCCCTGTGAATGTCGACAGGGAAGCTCAGACTAACCTGTAATGTTTACTTTCTGCTTTTAGGTCACATGTTCAATAGCAAGAGTAGAATGAGTTTTCCCTTGATAAATATGTGGCTTTACAGAGAACTCAAAAAAAAAAAAAAAAAGAAAAAAAAAACAAACAAAATAAATCAGAAAAATTTGCTGAAAATTTTAAAGAGGAACTTACTGAATTCATCAGTGCTTTGTTGGAGCCTGTCTATTCATATCTTACAAAACAATTTACTGTAGAGTCATAGCTCCAACAAGAAAAGTGATGTTAACTAGGAAAGCTCTAGATCACTGACTTCAATTCTTGGAAGGTGGGCTACRAATTCAGCAGAGCTGGAGATGATACACAGTATGGACAAAGAAGATGGGGAGAAAACATTGCAGCAGGTGGTAAAGTTGTGAGTAGGCAGAGGAAGCTGCAGTGATTTGGCAGCAGAATGGGAGCACTGCAGTTCAGCACTGGCCACTGAAGTCTTTATAGTCACATCAACACACCTGACCTTACCTGGGGTAAGGTATATGCTGCCTATACGCTCGAGCCTGCATCATAAACCCTCTAGGTATTTTATCCAGCGCCGAAGAGGCTTCTGAATCCCAGCTGCATCCCAGCTGCTCCAACACACCCGCTTCAGGGCTGTCAGTGGGCACCTAGGCCCRGGGAGCCTCGGTCCCAGGGGCTGTTGCTGCCTTGCACATCTCTCTGCCTCGAGTGCTGCAGATCCCTGGGGCCCTGGAGCAGAGGCATTTCAGCCCCACGTACACAGCTGCCAGGTGTGCAGGGGTTACTGTGCCGAGTGTGCCAATATCCCCGTGGACATCTGGACCTTGCTTTCTTTAAAACACTATTGATGAAACGTACCTGGTATCACTTGGAACAATATATCTTTAATAGGGATAATTCGAGGACAAACCATCTGAACAGTGCTATGTCTCACAGACATTTTACAATGCAAATACTATACTAAAAGAGTACATAAACTGGCATTTCAAATGTTCTGCTTCATTTCTAAAAGCTTCAGCTCCAGAGAGAAAAGAAACAGAAATTATATAGTGCCAACTTCAGATCTGAAAACAGCAAAGACATTGGCATCTTCAGTAATTATCCTGGCAAAATGTACGCTCTGTTCCAGGGCATGCTAAGAGCTGATTCACTTAGCTGAGCTTACAGGGAATAGAATGAATGCCTTAACTAAGAYTCCAATATTTTGTGCTGCAGGAAAATTATATTTTTAATATTTTATTTAGATTTAATTTTAGTCATCTGCTATACCAGCTGACCAGTGTTTGTACAAGCAAACTGATGTTTACTAGTTGGATATCCTATAATGAAATTCACAGTTAGTAAGACTTGAATATGTAGTTTCACATGCTGTTTTACCCCGAGAACTATCAGATTTGATATTCATTTAAAATTTAGATCCAATGAGGACAATTATTTTTAGTTTGCAGAAATTTAGTACATTTACTTCAGTCRGTTCTCCAAAGAATTCCCCTGTTTGCAGGGACTAACTCGACCTTCTCATCGTTTGTACAAAACAATGGCAAGTCAGCTTGCCAATAAAGTCTATGTTTGGAGAATATCAAATTTGGTATTACAGCACTCAATTAKGAAACAAAGCATGTAGAAAGAAACTCATTCTTACTGCATATGTAGCTAGTCATATCTTTTATTAATATGGTACTTTATTTAGAATATAATCCAGCTCTCAGTGTAACAGAGAATCTACTGATATTCCTAGACGACACCTCTCTCTATTTTCAACTGGTTGTTGCATGCATTAAGTGGGAAAGATATCATGGTTTTAAGGTTTATTTCTAGGTGAAAACAAGCTTACTATCATGTAGATGATCGACCTGGAAAAAGGCATTAATATAGCAAAGATTCTGCTTTGTATAATTTTGGATTATATGGAAATGGACATCATTTTTTATATTGATAATCATACTAGGGMATTTCAATAACAGTTAAATTTTGAAATTGCCTTTAAAGGTGGGATTTGTCCACTTCATGTAGCCTCCTTGGGAAGAAATCTCCGTTGATAGGGATTAATCAGCTCTTTGGCAGCAGTGCCAATACTGCACTGACATAGAGCAGATAAAGAGGGAGCCACTCAGTCTAGAATCCCTATGGCATGTCTATATGTCCCTATGGGTTCAAAAAAATAACTGTACAAATCTGTAGAAGAAAAAGGCTCCAATTCTGCTTCTGAAAATCCTGAACTCTTAAACTGCTGTAGGCTTGGATTATATTCTGGGAAATATCCCTAGATGATCGTTTGGATCTTATACTGCTTTCTAAAATCTGATGTTGGTAGCTACGAGAGACAGCTCGTGCTCTGGAAGTKGCTTCAACCAAATGCTATTTCAAATAAATAAAAATAGAACTTTATTTAAAAAAAATAGAGTAATTCCTTGGAATCCTTTGGATTACCATCACTTGGAATCACTGCAGACTCAATGCACTGTTTGCATCACAACATTTTAGCCCTGTTCCACAGAAGTTTTGCAGAACTGAAGTAGGGGCTCATTTTCAAGTCAGGTTACATGCACTCCCTACCATTCCCCAGATGTAAGCCTAATACAAGATCCAGTATCCACAACTTAATGCACAGTTTTATATAACAGCATATATACAACCTTGAATGAAAAACGAGCCCTCCAGCAAGCATCTCACCTTGCAGCAAGGCTCTGACAACCTCCTATGGCTAAGTTTCAAGCCAACCCATCCCACCAGTGTTTCCAAATCGAAAACTGGGCACCCATTTGCCAGGTAGTAAAGCGGTGGAACAGATGAGCAATGCTCTTGTCCATATGTTCTGTGGGTCCAACTGCTTGGTCRCATGTTTAGAGTAAACCAGATCCCATTTCACCAAGACAGCAGTTAGAGTAATCTGATGGCACAGGAGGTAGGGTAATCTGATGGCACCGTTGGACTAAATTCTAAATTAGAATTTAAATTCTAATTTAGAATTCTAAATTCTACTTCTGAAGTGCGACATTTAGAATTCATATAAAATAAGATTTATATAGTCAGGTTCAAGCATACTCACGTCATGTAATCTGCCATCTGCACCATTCTTATGTATCGGCAGGAAAAGGCATATTTTGTTTGGCTGATTTTAATAAGCTCACTTCTTACACAGTGTTCCTGCAATAATACAATCAACACTCATCCAAATTAAATCTACATCTTGGAAACCATAAAGAAACACATGTAAAGAAGAAAAACAACCACTTTARCATAGCTGTCGTCAGCATCTGAATAATGAAGACAAAAAGTTTCAAGAACAAAGCACATTTTTTAATAATGCATTATGAAAAAAATAGTAAAATTATCATAGTGGCCTTCAGAAAAGCTAAATGAATAAATATTRTACTGCATGTGATAAATTCCCCCTAGCTCTCTCATTTTAGCTGCATGAAGCTTGTGAAAGCCACCAAATGGATTACTGAGCATCTGAATTAAAAACTTCTCAATTTGTGTCTATTAGAGGGCTTTTTGTTCAGCCCTGAAAGCTGGCTGACCTTGGTTGGCTGGGATGGGGAAGGAGACAAGAGGCTCTTCAAGCCTGGCCAATTACATCWACATCCTCAAAACGAGAATCCTGGTACTACCACTGCCCAATTGGTTTCTTCTTACAGGTTTACTTACTTTCCTGTTGTTGAACATCAGAACTGTGTAGAGCTTATTATCTGTTTCCACTCTCTTTGGTGTTGAGATGACAATGGCAGGAACATAATAATCATTTCCAGTGTGTGTGCAAGTCCTGGCAAGCACGTAGTCTCCAATCTGCACACCAAGAAAGTATCAGTTTGTGAGAACCTGGTAGATTGTGAGTTTTACAAGATATAATATCAAATATTGAGATTTTTATACAGATCATTGTTCTAACATATTCCAGTCCTTTAATACAGAGCTTTAAAGGTAAAGATAAAGGACTTGGTTCTCCCAAGTACTGATCACTCTTAATTTCCACTGGATCAGGAAGAGATCACAAAGCAAAAATAATCTGACAGAGCCCTACTAAGTGCACCAGGGAGCAGCTGGAGAGTTGGACAGACTCAAGATGAGGAAACTCTTCTAACTCCTTTATCTSCTTGAACTTTGCATTTATAGCAAGCTTTTAAAGCAACCTTGGAAAATTTAGAGCATGGCATATGTAACTGACATATACAGAATCCTTTTTAAATCAACACAGAAGCTGCAGTTTCTTTACAAATTCTGCATATCTTTTCCAGATTTGGATGTTTTCCTTACAGAAACCAAGATCTTCCGTTGAAGTCAAACCAAGATTCRACTTCAACGGAGAGAAAAAGACATGTCTCTAGTTTTAAGTGTAACAAAATAGCTGCGAAACTGCTTTTTGTAGCCATCATCGCTCTCTTGAGTAATATAAGAATCAAATGAAAAAAAATTGTGATTGCAGATAGTCGTATGATCAACTTGGAAAAAAAGRAATTGGAATAAAAAGAGTTTTTTCCGCTACTGTTAGTATGGGCTAGTAAAGGGTTATTTGCCAGATTTAAGTTATGCTATGATAAATAAATTTTTGAACATGTTGTACATAAAAGGCTCACCTTGATTTTTAAACTACCTGCTAAGAGCCTATTTTGCTGCTCCATAGAGGGCAAATAGTCATGTTTTATAAATAAAATAATGCAGACTTCTGCAAATGAATAGGATTATAACGAATCTAAACAAATTAAAAATAGCGTGCTGAAAATATCACCAAAACAGAGCTATTGCTGTCAGCAAAGACTCTTTAAAATAAATCTTTTATTTTTTTTGCAAAATGTAAGAAGAGCTATTATTTGACTACTTGCTACTATATACCATAGGATCCGTCACCTGCAGACAGGGACAGGGCATGGCCCCCCCTACAGATATCATGAACTTCACGGGTACAGCCCAGGCCTCCCCATGGATGAAGTCAACAAGTGCATGGGTAGAACTGATATTCTTTATCACAGTTCCTAAAATAAGAACATAAAAAAAAATCAACATGATTATGTTTTTACTYCTTGTGGAAGACTTTAACAATCATATCAACATGAGGTCACTGAGGTCCACATGTCACTGAGGTCAGACACACTGTGTCCGTACTAAACATTCCCCATTTCCATCTGTAGTTGACTTTCATTTACTCAGCATAGTATGTGCTAAGGAAATAGGGCAATTTGTGCCTAAGTAAATGCAGCCATAGTAACTATCCTTAACACAGCCTTTACAACACCAAAAAGGATTTTCCAATCTTTTTCCACCAATTTTCTAGCCCAGGAATGAACTTTGCAAACCTACCAGATGGCTGATTGTTCATGTGACTAAGCTATTACTAGAAGTAAAAATATGGAGAAAAAGCAAACAAACAAGTGAAAGTAGCATAAAAATGATGGACTTTCCCTCTGCACATACCTACACGCACTCACACACACATACACAGGACATCAGCAGTTACACTTTTTGTAAGGACAGAGCAATCTCAAACATGGAGAACACAAAAAACCAAGAWAACTGAATTGGCCAAGGCACTTTATCTTCCCTGTAGCAAAGTTTCTGCATTGATTGATTTTCCCAGTGAAATAACACACAATTTTACACACCAATCAGTCCGTCTTAAAACTCAACAGAACCRTGTGATTAATTATTTGAGCAACCCCAAAAGCCTGGCCTTTCCCAAATGTTGAAAAGGAAAAACCCAGCATGGCATCAAAGCAGACAGATTCTCTCAGCTAACTGTAGTGTGGCCCAGGTACTGAAAAGCATTTCGTCCCCCACTCTTCTTTTACACATATTCTTCTTTATCCTCTTTTTAGCAGATCTGCAYAGTTTTTGGACCTTACCCAATGTAACCTTTTATAAATGAATATAAATGCATGTACAAAATACATATACTCTATTTTTTATTAACATGCAAGTGTAATATTAAATCTAATGAAAATCAAACTCGCTAAATATGAACAAAAGTAAAGTTTTATAGGAAACTAGGAAATTAAAAATACTTAAAATGAAAAAAAAAGATACCTGGATAATAAAATCCGGTGATGTCTGATCTTGCAATCACCTTTTGGCTTCTGAGAGTCAGAAATACTTTGCCTTTTTGTCTTTTTTTAGACTGTGACTTTACACCTTCTTCTTCAGGTCTCTGTAATTTAATTTAATTTTTTTTTATAATTACTCAAACAGGCTGTACCTATACTTTGGAATTAACTAAAATTTATGCAATATAATGTTATAAATTCTGTTAATAATTCACARTGCATTATTTTAAATATTCAGAATACTTATAGTAGAGCAAGCTAGGTCACCGTAAGTACTCACAGATAGGATCATCTAACAGTTTTCACTTAAAATCCTATTTAGATGGTTATAATGATGTGGAAATTTACCTTAACGAATCATGAACCTGGCTCACTTTTTTTCTAGGAAAAAAATTACAAATTCAGAGTTCTAAGACTGAGATAAAGAAAAATCTAATTTTTTACAAAGYAAGAGAATATCGAATACACTTCCACTTCCTTTAGACAGGTGGGTTTTCATTATAATGCTTTTCTATTTAAAGTGTCTGAACTATGTGGAGTCACTGATTAAAAAAGTCAAATACAAAATCCAAAAGAAAAWGAAAATCTTACAACTTCTGCCTGCATAAAATGATTATTTACAATCTATGACTTACATTTACCAAATATTTAAAGTTCATTTAATTTTCAAAATTATATTTTCTACAGTTTTGAGACATTACAGCTTAGTAAAATATTAAACCATGTTTTCCAGGGCCACCACTGTGTATGATTCCATCTTGGTAGTTTGGGTTCTTCAAATGCCAATTCTCTTCTTTGGGGTGGAGCTCCCCACACTGCAGCTCCCACCAGGTACCACAATCACCACAGAATAATGTGTCTTACTACTGAATTGCTCACCAACAAAGCTGGCAACACAAACAACTCATGAATTTAATTAATTAGGTTTTTCTTGATGAAAAGTCTTTCTCCTTGGCCAATCTTTCGAATGCACAAATTCTTGAAAAACAGAAGAAATTTTCTGTGGACTATTTGGTATTATTCCCTTTTAAAATGTTTTCCACGGGGGAAAAAACCATGTTTTTCAATTGGTTTCAATTGGCTGCAAAGGCCTTTTTTTTTTTGTCAGTGCTCTAACTGTTTAGTTGAGATATTCTTAAAAACAGACTAGGTGTATGGAGTGAGACCAAACATCCATCCAGCTGCTTTCCTGTATGTGAGCAGGGAGGTGCCTAAGAACAAGTATGTTCTTACTTGAACACTCTCTTAAGCTCCAGTAATTCCTAGATCAGCATCTTCCCGAGGCAGAAGAGAGAGTATTTGCATTTAATGGTTTGATATTTTCCTTGTGTGATGTTTTTGAAGATAGGTCTGTGTTTACACGCACAACAACCTGCTGCAAGCAGTTTAACAGCTTCACGGTGTGGTGTGTGAAAAAGCACTTTTATTTTGAATCTGTCACTAGCTAAATGCATTTGAGCTCCTATTCCTCATACTGGAAAAGCCAATGAATATTCATTCTTTATTCATATTTGTATTTCTTGATTTCACGGCTCTCCCATGCTCCCTTCTGAGCCAGCTCTYTTCCAGTTTATTGAGTCTATTATGAAGCGTCAGCATATGCAGAAGCAGCTCCAAACCTCCCCGGATTCCTCTTGCCAGGTGCTGCAGCCTTTCTGCTCTACTTGCTCCATTTTGAAGGAGGAAAATTGGAATTAGGGCCAGTATTCAAGGTGTGGGCACACTCTGGATGCACTCAGTGCTGTAATGCTTGCAGACCTCTCCTTTCTCTGCTCCATTCTTAATGATTTTTCTTTTCATGGCTATTGAAAACCGAGCTGTTGTTGTTATAGATCTGTAATATCCCCTCAAGATTGTTGGGAAGGGTACCAGTCCACCAAGAGCCCTGCAATGTACCAACAAAAGATGCAATTTCTTTCTCTCAAGAGCTATTGTTCAGGACCATGTCTCTCAATGATTTATAAAAGAGTATTTGAAATTTCACAGACTGCTTCACCCTCACTAAAGAAAGGATTTTCCAAAGGGCATCTGGCCGATGGAGGATGTTAACGCAGCAATATCCTAAAGTGAAGTGAGTTGAATTTAGATCAGAAAATTATTCTGCTTTGTGGCAGTGTTTAGTGTGTGCGACTAGAACAGGGAACATCTGGTTTGGAAAAGATGAACTGCTCTAAAATGACCAGCCATTGGAAAAGTCAATGGATCAATGTGCTGCATTGCTCTGCCTGGACATCCTGAATCCCTCATCCTTCTRGTCTCAGTGAGCATCTACCTCGCTTCCCCATCTGCAATATGAGGATAATAACACAATTTCACATCACAAGGAGCTTTGTGAAAATGAGGGGACAAATTATTTCAAAAGACTAAAGTATTCTAATGATAAAATCAAGAAGGTTCATAGATAAAAGGTAACCATGCAAACCATTTGGTCCAGGATAGTTTGCATGGTTCACAATTTAAATATCTCTTACAGCAGGTTTGGAGGACATCAGGAAATTATGTGTATTTGTCAGAATGTGACAGAATACTTCACATTTTTGCCTCCTGAGAAAATTATGAAAATTGATGATACAAAAGCTTAATCTTTCTGATAATGAAATATTTTAGAAGTACAGAATAACAATTTTATTTTACATCTGCTACAAGACCATGAAATTAATTATTGAATAAGAGGGCATTATGCTGTCCATACTTCTCATGATAATGTTCCTAAAAATAAATTATAAACAAATATAAAGTTAAATAAATCAGATTCCCTATTGATTTTTTAAAATGTTCAGTAGCCCACATTAGGTAAACAATTTGCAAGCATCTGTCTCTAGCACTGCTCCTTTGAATCACAAAATCATATGGTTTGAAAAAACAGAATTTTCCACTGATTTACATCCCATTTACAAATTTTATTTCGAAAGAAAAAAAAAAGCCATAACCCAGAGACCTCTTAAAAAACCCCTACTTGCTAATGGTGAGAATGGCAAGCATCCTTGTTCGATGACATTTTTTCCCTTAAAGTTACATTTTCTTTTGATACTAGTTTTGCCCTAACAGAAGATAAGGACACAAAAGACAGGGATAACTAAATAGTTTGTGCTCAGTTTCACTCTGACTCTTCAGCATCTCCCATATGTCCCACAAAAATCACAAGCAATGCCAAAAACGATGCCCCCTCCAATAAACCAAACTCAACGAAATACACAGCGAGATATTCTAAACAGGAGATACGTAGTTTCCTAGTTTTATTCTTCACTTCAATAGAACATAAATTATACCGACACCCAACCTTCCCCACTAATCCCAGAATCACAGCATCACAGGATGGTTGAGGTTGGAAGGGACCTCGGGAGATCATCCAGTCCAACCCCCWGCTCCAGCAGGGACACCCAGAGCACGGGGCACAGGGCGGCATCCAGGCGGGTTTGGAAGATCTCCAGAGAAGGAGACTCCACAGCCTCCCTGGGCAGCCTGTGGCAGGGCTCTGTCACCCTCACAGGAAGGAAGCTCTTCCTCACATGGAGCTGGAACTGCCTGTGSTTCAAMTTGTACCCATTAACCCTTGTCCTGTCACTGGCCAGCACYGAGAAGAGCTTGGCCCCTCCTGCCCCTTCTCCCCTCAGGTATTTATACACATTGATCAGATCCCCTCTCAAGCTTCTCTTCTCCAGGCTAAACAGGCCCAACTCCCTTAGTCTCTCCTCCCATGAGAGATACTCCAGTCCCTTAACCATCATGTTGCTCTCCACTGGACCCTCGCTAGAAGCCCCAGCACTAAAGACCAGGCAAGCAGGCTCAGTGTCCCGTGCAAAATACGGGGCAAGGAATCACCGTCTAACGTCAAACACGTCTTTCCTACCTAAGCTCTTAGTGCTCAGGGCAACTGGCCCAGGAGCCATGCCTGCTATGAAGGTGTCTAGTGTTCTTATTAAAGAAGAGCCCCATCTGATTCACAGGGATTTCCACTGGTGCCRGAGAGCTTAGCTCTGCTTGCACTGAAGCCAGTGCATTAAAGCATACGAAGTGAGGCAGATTTTGCTGCCCTCTGCCAGTACCTGCTATATGTTAAAACTCACTGTCACAAGACACATACGTGGTTGCACTTTCCTGCCATAGGTAAGAATGGGCAGGAAGACTATCCATGGAACTCGGAGTGTACTTGTCCTGCCTTTGGCACTACTGCCACCACAACCCTGCTTATTGTGGAACCAAACCATTTCAGGTTATTGTTACAATTTGTTACAACTTGCTATTTTTAATCACCCAGTGGTCATGTAGCATGGCCACAAACAAGGCTACATCCTGCACCTTCAAGCTCCTCCTGAAGAAGACACAGCACTTCTAAAAGTGTAATCTCAATGAGTGGAGTTCCTTCCTAAAGAATGTGGCTTTATTTCTTTGCAGCAACTGCTGTYCATTGACAAGCAGAAACAGTATTTATATATGAAAGTATTTAATATGAAAGCAGATGTTCTCAAAGGCTGCATTAAAGCCTGGATATTTTAAGTCAAAGTTGGTAATAAGGTAACTGATACATTTCTCATTATTTATATCTTCAAATCAAACCCAAATGCCAGCCTGAAGTCAAAGGTCTTAGTCAACATGTTTTAGTCAGCACATCAAAAGGAACTGAGTAGACAGAGGGATACAGCCTACAACTATGCCTCAAATTAGCTCATCATCTTTTTCTCTGATAATTACTAAAGGTGTTTGCTGATTCCCCCATCATTTCCTTCTTGCATCACCAGGGCCCCACGTAGGTGCAGGTCTCCTTCATCCCCTTTGAACATCCCCTCATGTCCCCAGGGACACAGCTCACCTTTCACAGAGAGCAGCAGGCAGAGCAGCCTGAGCTCAACTCCCGCAGCAGGTCAAAGCTCAGAGGGAGGATAACCAGGCCATTAATTCAGTGGCAGGCTTAAACAGAAAGCTCCTGCAGCAAGGACATCCAAAAAGGATTACTAATTCTTCTAAGAAGTTGTGAACAGAATTAGGAACTGTTGCAAGCTAAAAGCTATGGGGTTTATTGGGTTTATTATGAATTTTTGTAAAAATAAAGCAAGAAAGCAGTGCAGTAGACCTGCAGAGGAAATGCCATTTTTCTGCCATCTCGCAGTAGCAATATTCAGATTAGCTACTTGCTGCCACGTATTTCAGCCAGCAGGTTACTTTTTCATATCCATTCTGGAAACACAGAAATGTCTCCAAATCACAGCCAAACAAACAAACGAACCCTCTGACAACCTTCTAAGGAGGCTCCTTTTCAGTTTTCCTCCCGGTTGCATTTTCCCAGCACATCAGCCGAATTCTAATTACCTCTGCATTCCTACCTCTCACTCCTAAAGCCTTTCAGCCGCGGATTAGCGATTGCCCACGACGCGGCTCCGCTTAGGCTCCTAAAGCAGGTTGCCTCGGGATAAGCGATTGCACAATGTTAATCACCTCAAGCCGGGAGCACGCGCTGCTCTCCCGAGGCAGCAGTAGAACTGCATGGAAGTGACCAGCGAGCCACAAGCATGGCCAGAGCTGACACGATTTGCAGGTAGAGGACAGGCCCCCTCACTGCGGAGAACTCAGGAGAGGTTCATATGGGCTCATTTAGGCTTCAMCTAGCTTGCCCACCCATATTAATGCATATATAAGGAAACTTGTATGCACAGATACATCAAGGCAAAATATAGCATAATCAAGGAGCCAGGCTTCCTGAAGAACACAAAGCTTACAACTTCCCTCAGCATCCACTTCATTTAGGGCAACCATGTATCGAAGTTCAGTCAGACTAATTTCCCTCATTCAGTGATCATAAAAAGAGGAATATACAATATATGAAAATATACAATATACAATATATGAAAATATATGAGCTTTATAATGAATTGTCTATTTGTTTTTTACTTATCCTCTTTTAGAACTCAGAGGTCTGAAAGAAGATTTTCTTTCTTCTTATTTTGACACCAAGTTAACCATGAGYSAGCAGTGCGCCCTCGTGGCCAAGAAGGCCAATGGGATCCTGGCTGCATCAGGAGGAGCGTTGCCAGCAGGTCAAGGAAGGGGATCCTGCCCCTCTCCTCAGCTCTGGTGAGGCTGCACCTGGAGTATTGGGGGCAGTTCTGGGCTCCCCAGGACAAGAGGGATGTGGAGCTTCTAGAGAGGGTCCTGCAGAGAGCGACAAAGATCATTAAGGGACTGGAGCATCTCTCGTGTGAGGAGAGACTGAGTTGGGCCTGTTTTCTCTGGAGAAGAGAAGGCTGGGAGGATCTGATTAACATGTATAAGTTCATGAAGGGAGAATGTAGGGAGGAAGGAGCCAAGCTCTTCTCAGTGGTGGCCAGTGACAGGACAAGGGGCAGTGGGTACAAGTTGAGGCACAGGCAGTTCCATCTCCATGTGAGGAAGAACTTCTTTACTGTGAGGGTGCCAGAGCCCTGGCACAGGCTGCCCAGGGAGGCTGTGGAGTCTCCCTCTCTGGAGATCTTCCAAACCCACCTGGATGCCGCCCTGTGCCCCGTGCTCTGGGTGTCCCTGCTGGAGCAGGGGGTTGGGCTGGATGATCTCTAGAGGTCCCTTCCAACCTTAAACATTTTGTGATTCTGTGATTTTCCTAGTGAGCTCATTTTAATATTTGCACAGTACAACTCTACCTAGACTGCAGTTCTACAGAAGCAGCAGCATTGCCAGTTAGGCATTTACTTTTGAAGCTTTTAGATGAAAAATGAAATGGAATGAAATGCTTTGGTTTTTAGACCAAAGTATTTTGAATTTTAAAGCATCAATAGTGTATACAGAACAATACTGAAAAATTTCCACTGGGAAATTTTAGATTTTTTTTTTTTTTTGGTATTTTTTTGATTTTCCTAAGAATTCACTCARATACTTGATTGCAAAGACAAAAACTCAGGGTAGAAGATCTATGCATTATTTAAACAGAAGATATGGGGGTCCCTAAAATAAGAGGGCTCTGTGGGGTTTTATATGTACACGCCTGCATTCATGTTATAAAAACTATTATGCAACATAACTTAAAGGTAAAAGCCATTATGGTGGAATAAATTCATTTTCAAGAATATCCTGAAAGAGAGAAAACAATGACAGAGCACAATGCTGCAATCTAAAATAYGTTTTCTGAACATACACATCACAGAAAAAGCTAGCATGATAGAGTATGTTCTCTCTTCCCATATCACAGCCCAAAGTAACTTTTTAAGCTTATCTKTATACTTGCTTCTTTATACATTTCCACAGGTGGTTCATGAAATTCCTTCAAGTAAAACAGCACTCCAAGTGAAATCATCAATCAGGAAATTACATATGTAAGATGAACAAAAAAATCCCAGACTTCAATTGCAGTGTCAGAGCAGCCACATTATTTTGTGCAAACACAGAAAATGGGATTAATGGAATGAAGACAGTGCCACCTGAAGTAAAGACCCTCTTTGGGTCGTGCTGAATAGTAGCATCTTCAGGTGCTACTGACTCTGTTGATGGTACTGACAGCACCATCCACAGCAGTGTGACTTAGAAGCCTAGTCATGTGCAGACACCTACATTGAATGGACACTGGAATTTCAGTGACTGAATATGGGGATAAGTCTCTCTCCTGCTCTCCATCTTTTCTCTTAGAATAAAGATACCACCGTAGGCTAAAATAGATCACTTCTGACATTACAAAATCCTTTAGTAATCTAAAATCTATTAAACCTGAAAGCTGGGTAGATCCCACTGGAGATTCTCTGTAACAAGCTATAAACACAAAATCTCATCAAAATACCTGTGCAAACAGACACTTTGTGCTGCCGCATCATCAATATGATGCCCAACAGCTTTGTGTCTTTCCCATAAGACTGAACGGTGAAGTCTCTTTTCTCCCTGTCCCTGACACCTAGAATACAGTTAGTTACATGATGCTGAAGCTCAGCAGGTATTGACATTACGTGGACAAGAAAAATTCCCAAAGGAGATTTTTTCTGTCTCTTTAACCAAAGTCTTTATCAACCCCTTGGTAGACAAGGCTGCAGTTCAGAAAGCCTCTTCTAATTTTTCAGATAATTCTGAGACTTCAGCAAGGAAATAAAATGCAGAACTGAGGCCACCTACTAAGAAGGCCCCACCCTTCAAGCCTAACAGGGAGCTAATGCTGATGGAAGTCCAGAATGTTGCCCATTTCATTGAGAACATTTTGTTGCTTGCTGCAGATTATTATGTGCATTTTATACGAAGTTATTCTTAAAAAGCACTAAAATACAAGCAGCGGAGAAAATGGCTACCCATCTATGAAGATGCACTTCCAGAAGCATCCCGTTTTTCTTCTACATATTTTATGTATATGTAGATTAGTGCAGATCTGCAGAATAAAGTGCCACAAAGTTTATATCACAGCGGTCTTTCCCCAACTCTTCTTTTTCAGCTTGCAGAGAAAATAGAGGTATTTTGCTCAGATTTGGTTCCTAGGAAGCTCAATTTCTCTGGCTCTGTCTGCTCTAGAACTTCTGTTTACAAAGTATATTCAATAGAGTCCACATTTTTGGTGTACAAAGCAAAGTCTACTTTTTCATCCAGGATAAATTTAAGCTTTTCKAAGAGCACATGTCATGTCTAATTGGTTATTTATTCCCTACAGACAAGCTATCTACACAGTTAAAGTGCATATCCCAGGAAATTCATTTGCTTCTCCGACAGGCCTCGGCGTGCATCCTTTTTAGAAAGTTACTCAAGTGCCATACAACTTAGGCTGCATCTCAAATAACAGCATTTCAGTAGTTTTGCAGAGCTAGCCAGTGTGAATATTTAGGCAGACACATAGACAGACAGACAGACAGGAAAAAAACAGTTTACTGTAAAAAAATAAGTAACCATTACAGATTGCTTTATTTTGATTATCTTTTTCGTCTATCCATTTGGATACTATTACACTAAGTGCCTAATTTGGCTATTACCACAGAATAAAATTCTGCCAGAAGCACCTACAGAAGAAGAATACTTGAAAGAAAAATGTGTGTGTGTCTTACCTTTTTGCCATTGCCAGTGTGTGACTCTGAGCTTTTCTCAGTTTCTTTTTTTACAGCTTCCTGAAGATCAGAGGCTTGTTGCTTGTATGTTAATGCTGTCAGTAACTCATCTTCTAACAATGTTACATCTTCATATGAAATTGGCCATCCCAGGTTTTCTAAAGCCTCCAGCAAAGCTTCCTTATTCTGCATATACTGGATTGGCCCATCCTCTTTAAACCTTAGTAAAATAAATAAATACAAATCAGTTATTGCATTTAGGAGAGTTTTTAATTTTTACTGTACTTTAGAAATAGAATTGTGGAGTTTATTGGCAAAACAAAATACCAGATTCATCTAATCCAATCTTTTGTATACCACAGATTCTTGCATTTCGTTCAGTTACCACTGCATTGAATCAAGTAACTGCACTGGTTTAACCATATGTCATTGGAAGACACACAGACAGCAAACCAAAAGGCTGAGCATCAGAGCCTGGTGTCATTTTAGATGCCTTAAGACATGAGGCAGTGACAAAGACCTTACAGATATGACCCAAAAAAATCATGAAAGTCCTTCTGGAATAGCAGCTACAGGCAAGCAGAGTCTAGTGCAGCTAAAATGGTACTCTTTAAATCCTCATTTGCTTCATGAGTCTTGACTGAACACACTGAGAGTACTTCTACACAAGACGTGAATCAGTCACAGTATTTCCATTGATAAACAAACAACAAACAACAAACAAGCAAACAGAAGAGATTCTTCAATTCTTTAAATTGCCTATTGGAAGTTTCTTTTCCATTTCTTTCTCTATTTCTTTTCAGTAAAGCCACTATTCCTCTGACTCTTTTCTATAATGGTACCAACATTTTAAAAATGTGAAACCTAGATCTGCAGAGTTTATTTAAGTGTTTGTCTCATCTATACGTACAATTGTGGCAAGCCTATTGCACTGCTCTACTCCTTCTCATTACTCATTATTCAGCGCTCTCTACTCCAGGAACTGTTCTGCACTGAAAACGTACTGATGGACAAGGTTATTTACCTATATTTTGTTCTCTGCTAGCAAAATACATTATCCATGTGGAATCAATATCAAGGAAACTCACCTACTGAATCACTGCTCTCAGCTATTTTGAACACAAATGACTTCTCCATTAAATCTGCATTTCCCTAATAATCTCATATACCTTTTGGCAAACATTAGTGACCAGAGATCTCCTCAAGCAATTCCTTAAGAAGCATGACCAAGTTAGCAGGCTTTAATAGTACCCCCCAGATTCCTAAAGATTTTGAAAATATGTTGTCATCCTTTTGTTATACATAAAGAATATCTTTGTTGGTATTGTTATAAATAGAGAATATCTTTGTTGTTGCAAATTCAGAAAAGAAATAAAGATTGACCATCTCAACTTGCAAGCACCAATATTAACAATCTTTATATAACCACCCAGTAATCAACATGTACAATTGCTAGGATTTCTTTGTTCCTTATATACCTAAACTCATGACTTATATAGTCATGACTATATTTTATTTCTTATATACCTAAACTCATTACTTATATAGTCATATGAGTTTCGGTATATAAGAAACAAGTCATATATAGACATAAACTCATGACATATAGATATAGTCATGAAGTAATGATGTAATATACATTTCCAGTGTGGTATATGGCTCCTGTCAGGACAGAGGTGCGTATTAAATCTTTAGAAACAGCCACTGAAGTGCTCTTTACTGGATGACAGACAATATAACAAGATGCCAAAGGTGATATTATGCTGCCCTCCCAAGGCCTGCCACTTGACACTTGATTAAGAACAGATTAGCACCATTCAAAAGGATTGCAAGCCCTTTCCTTTAAAAATAACCAGCATTGCAGAAAAGAGGCTCAGAGTTTAATATTACTCCGTATCACCTATCCCAGATATAAAGCAATGTACAGGCCCAAAATAATCGAAAATAAAACAAGYTAGTTACAGAACTAAAAAAGTGTGATATATTTATGACCAGCTTTTCAGAGGTGAGGTAGGAAACCAGAGGGTGGCAGCTTACTTGTCTCGTTCATCTTGAGGCAGCGCTCTCCAAATAAGTAGATTGAGGCGTCTATTAAAGAAAGCATAGAAAGTTTAGAATGCATTTCCTTTACATCTGTTATCTCAAAAGAGCAACTAAACAGTTTATTTAGAATTCTGCACTGATCTGTATTCTGAGATCACTGTATTGTCAAACTGTATCATTCAGCCATGAAATTATCAACTGCAAGAGAARAAAGGAAAACAGCATCTTCCATCAAGTGGCCACACGACTATTTCTGGGTCACGGAAGGATTAGCAGCAGTCACTGATTCCTGCCAGGATTTTCTATGGAGGGTTCAGTTCAGCACCACCACATCAAACCCAACAACAGAACTGATTAACTACAAGCCAAGTTAAGGACAGTTCCTCCCTTTAAACAGGAGTTCAAAAAAAAGTGCAGCCTGCAGACACACGGAGAGCAAGGCTAATTATACTTTTCTGCCAAGATAACCCCTCAGTTGTGCCATTCGGATTTCTACTTCGCTAAACTCTGGCTACTGATAGGAAAATGCAATTCTGTGACCTTTTAAAAGYACCACAAACCCTTCCGCTTTTGCTTTCTAGACATAAACCATAAACTCTTATCATGTCATCTACTTCACTGTTTTCTCTATTAACATTTAAATAGTTAAGCCACTGCTCAATTACTTCATTTCATTGGTAAAATCTTTATCAGTGATCCCAGTTGCAGTAACGATAGGAAAGTAAAATGTCCTTTGAAAACATTAGAACAGATTCATTGTTTGGAATTATTCAGATCCTTTAGGCTTCTAAGTATCTTGTTTGATTTATTGTTGCACATACAAGAAAAAAAAAATTGCATTAAAACCAAACCTTGAGTATGAATTTCCTTTTTGGTTCAYTTGGTCTTCTAGAAACCAAAACCAAGCACTTTCAGCATATAAATGACTTCTTAATTCATTCACAACCTTCAGGCTCAGCATGTTCCACTGCCTATTTCACACTTCTCAATCTGCACCCTCACAACTGGACTCATTTGCAAAAGCCTCTAGCTATACAAGATCATGCAGTTTGCAACTTTCCAAATGATTATCAGCAGTCAAATAATTGCAATACTTAAAAAAACACACACACAAAATAGACTAGATATCTAATGACCTTGTTTTGTTCACATGCCATTACAGACATTTAATTAATAATCACAATACTTCTCTCTAATAAATAAATAAATAAAATGGACAGTATAGACAGTACTTTGGTTATACTCCTGCACCTATAGCTAGATTCTAAGCAGGTGGCAGAACAAAATGGCCACTCATTTAAACATGTCTGTGTTTTCAGAAACTTAAATGTAGATTAAAATCTTGCTACTATGGTATGTTCTGGGGGTGTCCCTACAGGAAAGATTGCCTCCAGGTTTATTCTCAGAAAGCAAGCAAAATATTGTTTTCTTTGTCACTGAAAAAACACAGCATGAGCAACAGGGTATTTATGATCTCCTTGGCCATTCACTGGTTTTTCATTCTGCTTTTTTTTTTAAAGAAACTAAACATTTCTCCTGCRGGTTAATGGTTGATTAATGTGTTTCAAAGTGTGGAATTACCTGTATGGGCAAAGTATGCATGAGCAAGTACCCAATACATCAGAAAAATCTKCATCTGGATTGTAAACACGGTAAATTTCTGATCATCAGACTTGCCTTTCATAGGATTTAATTGCTTGCTCCAGTTTCTCTTTATAGGCATCAAGATTCACTGCCTGAGGATTAACTAGTGTGATCCGCTTCTTGTCGCTGCTAACATGGGCCAGTGGTAAAACCTAGAACAAAATAAAAACAAAGAAAGAATTTATCACACATTTCCTCTACCAGAGTGCAGAATGCCCACAACTCCATATCCAAAGATCAGAACAGACAGTAGGGAAAGGTATGAGGAAAAGAAAAGAAAGGCTGCGTTAAGAAATCTCTGAKCCCCCTAGGAAGAAAACCATCATTAGGCACCAATAAGGATTTTCAAAACTAAGACATCATTTTTATAGTGTAAATAAAATATTCTGAAATTATACAGCCCCTTGCCCCTTACACAAGTCAATGGTTTTAAGGCAAGGCAAAGCAAGATTTTTAATTAGTAGTTAATTCAGACTAAATCAGTACTCTCCAAAATCTCACTTGAATGAATGAATGAATGAATGAATGAAAGAAAGAAAGAAAGAAAGAAAGAAAGAAAGAAAGAAAGAAAGAAAGAAAGAAAGAAAGAAAGAAAGAATGAATAATGAAAGAATAGGTCAGAAAGGACATATCAGAGAATCACAGAATATTCAAGGTTGGAAGGGACCTCTAGAGA